GTGTGAGGTTTGTTATCACTGGGACGATTTTGCGGGATTTCAGCTTAAAATTCAGTAAATATACAAACTAAAATGATTCTGTCATTTGCTGTGTCCAAAACGTATCTCCTGACTAAAACATCACTACAACACGCAAGATAGGCAAAAGAACACAGCAAATAGCAAAAGCAAGTTTTTTTTTTGTATATTTACTGAATTTTAAGCTGAGATCAATACGGCAAAATCGCCACAGTAGTAACAAATCCTATACAAAGTCTTACAGTTCGCATGGTGTGATCGAACGGGTGAAGACAGCTCTGAAAAGAACTGTTGTGAATCACTAACAATAGTAATCGTCAAAAACCCTCACCCGGGCGATCACACTATACGAACTACTGATACTCTTAGCTGGGTTCAAACCATTTACTGCAAAGTGTTATAATTCTCAACGGTCAATCCGTAGTGTTACACTATACCGATTGTGATGACCGCATGACAGTCGTTCTCGGATCCTGCCTAGATTAATGCGTGTTAAAAGGTCTGAAAGATTCTTATGTACTCTTGTTAAGTTACTTTTTGTTCTGATTTACTCGACGAAAACAGTTGTTTAAGATTCTTGCACTGAGACAATCGTGATTAAATGATGAATACGCTGACAGACTGAATTCGGAGTCTGCGTAGCCATGACTGAATGGACCATAAAAGACGGAGATCTTTAGTTGAAGATAATTTAGTGAGCTTAAGCAAACCACGACGACAACGGCAACGAGAACGTCGCTAAACCAAAGTCTTAATGGGTAGAACAATGGCTGTGCACGTGCGTTATAAATCGTTGTACGTTTCTTTGCCGCCCTCTGCAAAACAAAACCGTGAAATGACTAAGTTTTACGTATTTTGGAGAACGCGAACGACGGCGGTTGATTTTTCGTATTTTCATTTGGAGTTGAACGCTGGTGTTATGTATTTAGCTTGAGCAAGCTCAACGACCAATAGCGGATTAAACAGACTAGACAATTGCTAAATTCCAAGGTAAAATATAAATTCATTTTTTTACTGGGCGTTGTTCGCGGCAACATCGTGAAACGACCGCCAATTCTGCGTATTTGGAGAACGTATGCCACGACGACAAATTTTTCGCATTTCTTCTTGGAATTGATCGCTGGCAGTACACATGTAGTTTGAGCAGGTTTTCATATCGATTGGCGTACTAGCAGATTCAGATATAGTTCCAAAATTCAAAGGTAAGATATAAATCTATTTATTACTAGGCGTCTTCCATGGCGTCAGCGTCGTCATTGCTTAAGGTTCCTAGGATTCGTTCAACGACGCGACGCTTTTCAGTCTTATAAGCTCAAAGCTTATAAATAGAAATAACTGCGCTTGGCGAATAGGCTCTATTTCAGTTAGGGGTATAATCAATATTATATTAAAGTTTTTCTCCGTACGAAATCCCAGAGGTGTAAAGAAAACGTCTGATAAAAAAAAGCGAGATGGCTCAAGACCCCTTGGAGTTTAACAGTAAAATTTTATGGTGAGAAGACAGTTTGACTAAAATGTTTTAAGTGGATCGAACAGTTTTTGTTTGGCCCAATATCTTGGTTATACAGAACTAACCTAATATCTAAGCAAACAATCGCTGCTAACAAAAACGGAAGCCCTTCCGAGACTGGCTGTGATATATATCTTGCAAAGTCTGATCGACACAAAGATCGGGCTATGCCTTATTAAAAACTCAAACCACCAGAAATTAGGAGGCAATCCACTACAAGTTCGAGTAACAAGCGAAAAAAAAAACTTTGTACCGAGATTATTTACACCGTATTGCAAACTTATATGCAACTGTTTTAAATATCTTCTCAAAAGAAATCATTTCTAACAACACCAAAAGTCGAAACTGACATATGAAACATGAAATTTTACCTGTGTTTGCACAATTCCTCTGAACTTTGAAATTTATTTTCTCGAGTTCCCATAGGAAATTGTTCTTGGTGTTATCTCAGGCAACTGTTTCTGTCTTTAGCTTTTGAAAAATGCGAAAGGGATTGTAATATACTTAAAATTACTCTGGTACAAGGTTTTTGTCCATTAAAAACTGAAATTGGTCGATTTCCTATGGGATTTCGTTTTAAAGTTTTAATCTTAAACGTCACTAACACCGGGTCCTAGTTCAGTACATGCGAATGGAAATACCAGGTAAATACTTCACGAGCCGTATGGCTTAAAAATTATGCTAGCATGAGCAATGAGAGGTTCTCTATTTCCCCTGAATGAGATTCATGCTAGTCCATTGTAAGGTTACCCCCTCCCCTTCTGATCGTGTCAAGCCTTGATGATCGGCGTATCCCAAATATGTTAAATTTTTAAATGATCGTGTTCAAAGTATTAAACAATTACCCACCTGAGAACTAAGAGACCTGTTCAAAGAGCAAACAGCCAAAATTTAAGAGGGACCAACAACCTTCAAGTATCTAAAACTGATACTACTTGTTTTGGCTTCGATCAGTAAAATACATCGTGGCCGTTACTTGGAACAACATTTCTGACACCTTAAGATCCTTGGACACGCTGCCATCTTTTTACAAAGCTGGCCGGAAAGTTAGTTTTAGTTTACAAGTCTTGTTTGTATGATGGCTCACTATATTATAGTTATACTTTGTAATTTAGACTATTTTGTGTTATTTTTTTTATTTTTCTGGACTTACGTTGTTCATTATTTACTTCTAGGCAAATAAGCATACTTTCTAAGATCAAAGCCGAATGTGACCAAATTTTACAATACAATCGGAAAATCTTCTGGAATTGAGAAAATCTGCGATCAGTAAGAGCTCTCTGGGAGTGAACAAGGGATTCTACCGGAAGAAAAACAAAGTTCGCGTGACGTGGAGACATTCTTAACTCAGCCAACTAGATTGCGGCATTTGTATTATTGCACTAAACATAAACAGATAATTGGCGGGACGGATTCCGTAAAGGACTGGCAAATATGCGTCATGTGATATTTTTCCAGCCTTCAGGCAATCGCTAATAAACAAAGAGGAAATAAATACGGAGCGCGAAAAACCTCGTTTGATCGTAGCTAGCGCAGAGCTAGCAAATGTTTTCCGGATTTGTGATGTTCATCGGCGCCTCGAGAATTAACTGGTTTTTGGTCGTCAGGAGAGAGCACACAATTAAAGTCAGGTTAGTTATTGAATTTGCCTATCCAAACCAGAAGTGAAAACATCGATCAGTTGAGTCGACATCTACCCGTATATTTCATCAGTCTTTACATTATTATTTTCTAAGACGGACAGCGCCAACTGCACACAAAAATTTAAGATTTGTGCAAACGGTCCAGAACGAAAGCGGTTGAGCCACAGGACAAATCACACTGTTCAATTCCTGGTTTTCACTAGTGCATAAATATAAGCATATTAAGCAACATGCCCAGATCGGGTGCGAGTCCATACCGGCTTCCACCGTTTTGCGGAAATCGGACATCTTTTTAAGAATTCGATGGAGGGCTTCGGAAGAGTTAAAATTTAAAACACTTCCGAGGGTTTTGGAAATCGGTCACTGTGCATCCATGCCCAGTCTGGCGCGCCTGCTTGAAGACATCAAGTAAGTATATGTGTTCGGAATCCAGCTAACCACGCAAGTTTTAATTTAATTAGATATGCTGCAAAAAATTTTGGTCAAATTGAATCCGGCAGACTTTATGGTCTGGAAATAATGTGTTTATAAAATCTAATCTGAAGAGCCAGCGAGATAAACTGCCAAACATTACAGTGAGCTCTACCAGATAAATTCAATTCTATAACGCTCTCACGACGCCTTTAAGTTCCTTTAGCTCTCTTTCTTACTCCCACGGTGTTAATAGCAAGGTTAGTGTAATACAATGCGGGTATTATTTTGATATCCTCGAGTATTCTAGGTATTAATCCTGAGCTGTCGACGCACTCTTTAAATACCGGAACGTTTTGCCGTCTATATTTTCCAGTTTGTAAGATAAATAGTCTGTAATTCCACCATCCCCATGACTTGAGCATAGATTGATCATTTTAAAAGCAATTTCAATTGCCTAGCTTAGGTTTTCCTTTATGTTAATGCACTGATAATATATGACATAAATATCCTTGCATTGTCCCTAACGTTTTTACTGCACGACACTCGGAAAATTTAACAAAGGAAATCGATTTTTATAGGGAATGAAAGTCTTAGTCTCGTTGTCTTGCTACTCAATGAAGATCCGGCTAGATCGCATTTAATGATATACTGAACCTCATCTATCAAGGAAAACAAGACGTATTATCAATTTAAGTGCTGGTTGAAAAGGTCTGAGGTTCAGTTTGATCTCAGTGCGCTCGCGGCATTGTTTTATCTGACATTTTCAATCAGTTATGTCTAGAATTTAATGATTGTGCGAAGTTTAAAAGGAGCACTACTCGAAATGTGAAGCCGTTCTCTAACTATCGATACCAACAGCAACAACAACAACAGCAACATCTTTTATTTAAACACGGTGGGTGCCTTCAGAGGTTGAAAACGTACAGTGCACGTGCGACTGACACCTCACATACCATAGGCTAAAAATTTACGATTTTTAGACAGAAAACCTCTCTTGTATTTTTCCGAAAGTACGCGTGTTCCTCTCACGTAAACCATAAAGATACAGACGTCATTGGTCTACCCTATCACGCAAACAGACAGAATAAATCAAATTCTATATTCATGCTAATTAGAAGATCGACGAACTTTGACGCGAGCGAACTCTGCAAGCTTAATTGTTTTCAAGTTCCTCATTCGGGTTATCCTCCAGAGTCTTGGTTTTCTTTGCTTCTTGTAGTTTTGCTACTACCTTAGTGGTTAAAGGAGCTACGTCACTGTTTGTGCATCTTGAAAAGTTTGGCCTAAATTCTTCAATTTCGTCGTTTGTTATCCGTGTTAATCTTCTCCATCGTTAAACATCTTTTCTTTCTTTCTGGTTTATTATCACTTTGGTGTTTTTCTGTCTTATTAAACTTTTATTTTCAGGTTTCCTTCAGTTGAAAGGTAATCATTTGTACGAGGCCAAAATACCATGACTGAGCTCCTTTAATAAATAAACGAGCGTTCAGTGCGTGTCATTACATTCGAAATTGATTGGCGCACCACGAAGGCGCACACACGTTGCGAGAAAGAAGACTTCTGCTCATTTACACTTTGCTTTTATTTTCATCCAACAGATCAGCCCCCTGAGAACCACTGGTGCAATGAACAATTCGAGCTCCTTCAGCGTTCAAGAGACCTCCAGCTCGTTATTGATAATTTACGTCAACATCTCCATGACTGTGGTAGTACTGGCTACATTGTGCCACATTTCCGCTCTGTTCACCTTATTCCAGGGCCGCCTGAGAAGAAAGATTATGTCCCCTTTCATGATCAACATCAGCGTGATTTCTTTATTGTTATCGATCGGAGGCTACGCCGTCACATTGGGTACGGATTTTAAAAAGGAAACGAGGAACAACACGCAGGCTGTATACCTGTGCAACTGGGTGACTTTTGCTGGTCTTCTCTCCAAAAATGCCTTTTGGTCAACACTGTGCGCTATGAACATTGTATCAAAACTGGTATCAGATCGATGTGACCGTGGATTACCTCAACAGATGACAAGAAAATCGAATATAATTATTTTCTCAGTATCGTGGCTGTATTCCATTTTGACGAGCTTTCCGATACTGTTTAAAGACAGCCTCACTGTGCTGTCCGCCTCTCAATTGACTTGTAACTTAAACTGGACCTCTAGGGGAAAACTCCTTTTCCTCTACAATGCTTTTGTTGCCGTAACAACGTTACTGCTGCCTATGGTAATATGCTTAGCGATGCAATATCATTGTGCGAGGTCAGTAGATACCCGGTGAGGTACTCCCTTATGTAAGTCATATAGGCACTAGGCACATCCCCGTCTCTCGCCCATGTAAAGGGTATGGTGTTTTGGGGAGTTTTGGGAATTACCAAATTTACATAAACGTACTTCATTCACTTCATTTAATCAGTGGGTTCATCTTTAGATGCAAAAGATAGAAAGAAGCGCAAACAGGAAATAACATTCAAATCGATACGACACAATTTGTGCAACGATAAAGTTAAGACGCTAACATCCCCAGGGTATACCGCGGACATCTGACTCGTTGATCTGTGATGCGGTGCGCAACATAGAATCAGTGGTATGTTAGATGGGGATTTTCACACCACGTGGGAGGGCTAATGAGGGCGTTATCACGGGGAATTTGACACTGTATGGGCTGAAGGGCTGATGGGGAATTTATCGCGAACAGGTTGCCAAGAAATCGCGGTGGAAAGGTCCGCAGACCTCAGAGGACAGTCTCATCTGTAGCCGCAGAGAGCTTCATTGTGAAATTGGCGATCTCCGAGTTCGTTTGTGCCTCTCTTTCAAAAACGAGTCCTTGTGCAAAGCCTGTCGTATGAAAATGAGTTTGATTTACATTTAACTGAACCCGTAAGAGCACATTTTCATATGAATAGTTAATAGAAAGAGAGGCAAGACAACTCGGAAATGGAATCCCGTGGAAATCCAGTGGAATCCTGTAAATACGACCACCTTCGGATCATGGAAAATTGGTCGTATTAAAGGGGTTCTTTAAATAAGAAAATGACTGACTGAGCTTTTTTTCGGGCCAGAATAAAGTGGCCGTAATAACGAGGTGGTCGTATTAACGGGGTGGTCGTAAGGCGGGGTTCCGGGGTTTGTATGTAAACAAGGCATTGTGGATGTTCAACTCGGACATTTGACGGTGCTTATTCTGTTCCAGTATTCACTTTTGCCATGAATGTACACGAACCAAATAGGGGCATTTGAGCTTGCGCGTTTGAACAACATATACTTTTTTTTTCCGGTTCGATCCCAGTTCACAGGTTGTGGGTTAAACCGTGACGGAAAAAAAAAACAAACAAACAAACAAACAAGACAGGAAGAGAACACGAGCGACCATCATTCCTCTCTCCAGTCCCTCATTTTCTTGCTCATTTTCGCAGCCCACCTTTTAACCAAATATTTGCCGTATGCAAATTCAATTTGCATGGTAACTGATACCCTGGGGATTATGCAAATAACAGTATAACATAATTCACACGTGTTTCCACCCTATCACTCTACTCGAGGCCGCGAAAGCGAAAAGGTTGGCGACCCACCCTCCCACTCAACGAGCAAGTCGGGCTTAATCTAGCTGTCCGCGTCTATTTTCTCCTGGTTTTGGGCTCGTTCCAGGCCAGAGCAATTCCCCATAACTTATTACCATGTCATGAATAACAGTGCCCAGGGTGGAATATTTCATGGTGCTTCTTTTCATTTCTGCAGAATCTGGAAGGCCTCACGTTACACTCAAAACATAACTCGACGACGGCGCCTCTTGTATCGCAGGAAGCTGAACCATATGGTCATCGCCTTGACCCTGTTGTTCTTTATCTTTGAGTTTCCGTGTCAGGTGGGCAACGTTGTTGCCATGGCTACAGGGTACTACAGTTATACGCACCGCGCGGCGTTCTCGCTCGAGATACTGGCACAGTGCAGCGTACTTTATCCACCATGGGTGTACTTATTTCTCAATACTACCTATAGGACGACGTTAAAGCAATTACTGACAGATGCGCCCAGGCAAAGAACTACGAACGTTAGGGACGACGCCCCAAGAGGAAATCGAAGGCGAGGGGCTGCACGCAGAAATCAGGAGAACGAAACAGCAAGAGTTAGATTTAGCAATAAAGTCTACACGCTACCTCAACCTGCTACCCCCACAAGACAAACAAATGGCAACACACAGACTAGTGGCACATCATCTTTAAGGAGTAGAACACTAGAGGGAGGTACTGGAAACGACAACAAAGTTATATCGACAGATGAAAGGAACGAGGAACAGTCTACAGATTTCTAGTAATATATCAAACACGAAACGCCGTGTTTGACCACATTTTCAAACACACACCGAGAATACGACGCGTAGCGGAGTATTTTTTACTCTGAGGTGTTCGCAAATGTGGTCCAACAACTGTCTTGAGTAAAGTGCTTGATATATCTTCTCAATCGAAAGTAAAGCTGAGATAAACGGAGAAAGGAAGTCGTAAAAATCCATGCTAATAAAGATCGGATGACCAAACATCGTCACGGCCATGATTTCCTTTGTTTAAACTTGATGAAGTAGCTGTCAGTCTCAAACTAAACTTCATAAGTCAACGTTATGAAAAAAATAAATAAATAAATAAAAAAATCGCTAGGGTTGACAGGGTTATACACTCTCTCGCATTCTTCCTTTATCCTAATCAACAGATATTTACATGAACTAATTCTTACACTGGGCTTTTCTCTATATTCTCAAAACAGTATACCTCCCAAAACTTAGTTTGGAAGTAGAAAAATAAAAAATATTCCCCTTAACTCCAAGAAAAGCGCAAATCCGTCATCGCAAAAGTAATTTTGTTGGGCTATTTACGGTGAGGAGTAGCGGATTTGAGAAGCTTTTTACAGAGGGCCAGGCTGAAAGGTTTACCCAATTGAAGACAGAAGAAAAATAAAAAAGATCTTTCCCTTAATCCCAAGAAAAACGCAAACACTTAATCGCAAAAGTAATTTTGTGGGGGTATTAACGGCAAGGAATGGCGGGTTTGGGGAGCCTTTTGCACGGAGGGTCAGACTAAAAGGTTTACCCAGTTGAAGACAGAAGGATGTCTAGGTTCAAACAGGCAATCATTAGATCTGACCTCTTCGAATTACGACTAGAATGACTTTACTTAATTCAGAAGGGAGACTGAGGTCCCGAGAGTGAGGTCTTTACGGGAAATTCTCAAACCGAGATCTTTCCGCATTTACCGAGCGATAGCGAGGTCGAATATACGGAAAATTTGAGGTTGGAGATTTTTCCCGTAAAGACCGAAGGTTCGAGGTTAATAAGTTGTTTACTATATGACTTTTTGCTTTGTTTTGGTAGGCCCGTAATCGGCCCGTGTGCATTACGGGAGAACAATGCCGTAAAATTAGCCAATCAGAGAGCGCGTTATATCCGCCAAAAACACAAGCCAGATAATAATGCGGGTTTGTGAGTTGATGGCAAACTTGGATTCATTTCTGCAACAGTAACCAAGTGATAACTGGCATAATTTATTTCGGCTAATATTCAAATTCCACTTCGAAGTATGAAGGATCAAACACATGAACTCGTACATATCCGTCCTCGCCACCGCTGCTATAACTGTGAAGAAAGAACAAACAATATTTCAGTTCTTATGAAACAGCACATAAACCGGCGTGAAACACGCGCCATTTTCATGTCTTACGTGTTAAGTGTGTTTTCAGTAATGAGTTGAACTTTACAAACCCCAAAATCCAAGGACGGAATATATCAAACACGAGTGACCACCGTGAAGAAAATTAAAAACACAAAGCGCAGGGGAGCATTTTTGTTGAACTTCGAAATGTGGTCAAACACTGTCTTGAGTGTTTGACACAGAAAAAAACGGAGAAATAAAACAGGTGTAAACATCTCTGCTCATTAAGATCGGATACTCAAACACCGTAACTGAACAGTGCAGACAATCTCAGGGAAGCTATGGCAAACCTTAGATCACTTTCTTATGATATTATTCTAAAATATTCGAATTCCACGCGTCATCTTCGCTAATTATAAAAGCACATTTCCTCTAACGAACAACAGTTTACAAATAATAGCCTCTAGTAAACCAAACAGAATACTGTGATTTAACACAAGCTTGAATAGCAGTATTGATTACATCGTGTGCAATTTGTAATTTTCTCGTTCTGCGCTATTGTTTTGTAATGTCGCGTTCTTTTATGATTACTTATGATTTATGATTACCTTTTTCCATCTGGATGAAAAGCGGTGCTGTTAATGGGTCCAAAATGACCTTTGACTCGACCCATTTCTTCTTCAAATACAGTGTGGAAGAATCTGGCATCGAATTTGCCGACTCTTGTGGAAGTGGTTGTTACATCCATCGCCTCCTGGCCACCTCCCAACACCACCTACATCCCACAAAGATCAAACAGTTTGCTATTTACTTTTTGCCGGCAAGTGGTCCACCTAAGGGACTTGACGCTTAGGCCGTTTAGTTTCTCAATATAAAGCAGTTGCTCGCGTCGCCATTCCTCCCTGATGGCATGTTACATCAAAGCTTCCAAAAAACTACCCCGTTACCTTAACCACTCCTTAACCCCGCCCCTTTCAAACCTCCCACTGTCACCAGTTCAAGGTAAACTGAAAATGAAAGCCGGAGGGTAACCTGCGATGGATTCGCAACAGGAAGGGAGGGTGGGTAGGAAAACACGCAGTGACTTTATCCTACGATATCTGAATTTAAAGCGCTGTCAGTCATGACGACAAGCTCGGCTTTAATCCAAAGATCGAGAGCAAAATTCTCCGTACTTACTGCTGTACACTTACCTTGCGTTAGTTCTAAGAATCTGGTGCTACGTCAACTGAAATAACAGATCAGATGTAAAATGCGTGTACAGGAGCAGTTGTTTAGCAGAACTTACGTGTTCTCTGATGGGAGAGAGCGATGCTGAATTCACGGGCCTCTCCGTCTTGTACGTATTCATGTGTCGCAGAGAGTCTGTGTCAAAAAGCTGTGGACAAAGGTAAGGCTATGCATCAACTTCAGACAGACAGACAAACAGACAGACAAACAGACAGACCGACAGACAGACAGATAGACAAACAGACAGACCGAGAGACAATCTTCAAAAGGCTGTATATCCGAGTTGCCTTGTCTTTGCATCACAACGAGTCTGTGCGAAACAATTCATATGAAAATGTATTCTGCGTACAGGTTCATTTTCATGAAAATCCATGTGACCTTCGCATGATAGGTTTTACCTGCGTATTCGTCTTGAAAGAGAAGCACAAGGTAACTCGCAAATGGCTTATTTACTTGAGTCAAATGCTTACACCGGAACGGCCATGAAATGCATTATCAAGGTTTTTTGGTCGCTGCCACTTCAAAATAGCAATGAAAGGAGTATTTCCCCCACAAAAAGAAATATGAAAAGCACATTAAGATGTCTTACCACTGCAAACCACTGGTGCCCTAAACCACTGATTTATAAGGTAAAATCTACCATTAACCCTCAAATGTTTTCCGTCCACACGAAAACGAAAAGCCGGCGTTTTCAAATTCCTCCGGTTTGAAAAGCGTTTCCGAAAAGCTCCGTTTTCGTGACGGATTAGTGTGGACGGTAGGCCTAACCGTAGAAATAAAGCTGCGTTTTTTAAATATCTCTGGCGTAGTGTGAACGACGCCTTGGTACCTCGACGGG